TTATAAATATATATTTTAATAAATATTATATTATTTATATATTTTATATAATATATAAAATACATATTATATATTTTATAAAATATATAATGCTAAGTCGGGCCGGGCTTTTTTGACAAATCCCGAGCCCGGCCCGAAACACAGTCGGGCTTACTGTGTTAGGCCCGAGGTCAGGCCTGCGGGCCTAATTACATGACCAAGCCTGACCGGGGTGCGGACCAGGCCGGACCAGGCCATCGGGCTACCCGGCCCATGAACAGGTCTAGTTTTCAGGCCCAATAGGAGTTGGAGATTCCTTAAGAGCGGAAATCTTGGCACTACATCAAGGTGTAAAACTGGTCAAACAGTTGGGGCTATAGCAGATTGAGATAGAGGGAGACTCCAAGTTGTAAGGAAAATTGGGTGGATGCAATCAGGGCAGCTAGGAATTTGGCAATATAGACAGCTTGTAAGGAAAATTCTTAGCATAACAAGGGAGGTGGGTGTTTGGTTCAAGTGGGTAAGGAGATCAACAAATGGTTTTGCTGACGCCCTAGCAAAACAAGGGACCGCAAGGGAGAGTCTTTTTTGGGCAGTGCTGTAATGTTTGATGTTTATTGGATCAACCTTTTCTAATAAGGGTTGAATTCTGTATTTCAGGTTAATTTATCTCTAAATAAAAGTTACCGTTTCTGATCAAAATATATATATAGCTATCCTCGTACAAATACCAAAGAATTTCCTTCCTTTTAGTGTGACAAGAGACCAATTTACGTTTAGACAATTCACAAAAGTTTGATGGAAGCATCCAAGATGCAACAAAAGGGAGAATAAAGTAGTTATACAACTGAGAACAAACTGAAAAGACAACAAAAGGTGGTTCATATTCACTCCACTCTTGAGATAGAGAATACACATTTGAGAGAGGCTACAAAGGAGAGAATATTTTATCTCCAATTTCAATTTGAAGCTTGAGTGAGTCATCTTCAACTGTGAACAAGGTGATTGAGAATGAGGTTCAAATTGCAAATCCTCAGGTCTGTTCTTTCCTGTGTGGAAGAACTGGAAGAAAATGGTAGAAGATCCGAAGTAATTGAACCACAGTATCAAACAGGTAATATCTTCTTCACAATAAAAACCTATAACTATACTTCTGCTAATGTATGTTTTATGTATTCCATCTCAAGTACTTGAGGAGTAACCACATCTATGATGTCCAGATAACTATACAAGGGTGCCGTGTTGTGTCAAATAATTCAATTTTTAGTGCAGATTTCATATCCAATACTGTATCTAGCTGTGTCCTTGTTGTATCCGGGTAACACATAGCCACATCCTTTTTCAAGAAAATAAAATGCCAATTTATATGTAAAGATGGTACCTTGACATCAAGCAAATCAACATTGACAAAATGCAGCAGCCTTTCATTTAGCGTGTGCTCAACCTGACATAAATGTTCAGAAAGTATTAGCCAAGGGAAGCAGATAGAGGATAATACATACACATGGATATCATGAAAACAAAAAACATGTTCTAGGTCAAGCTATAGGATACTCGCATAACATCTGCTGGAAACCAGCTAAAATTATCACAAAAAATCGTGCTTAACAAATATTATGTGCTAAAAATCATATCAGTCAAGAATGATCTGATGACTCTGGGGAAATGGCCTATGATGACAAGATATAAACAGACTAGGACATGGACATGGATATGGGAAATGGGGATATGACACTTTATTTCCTAAAATCTTGGACACGGGTAAGGGAACAAGCATCCCATCTGATATGCATATGTCGTACATTTGTTTTTTATTTATTTTTTTGATCAATAACTGCAAATTTTGATTAAGAATCAATAAGTACAAAGGTCAGAGTTAAGAGGAGATAAACTCTCTTAACTCCCCTCAACAATTCTTACATGTTACAACTGAGCCCAAAAAAGATTATCTCTACCTGTGCTTTGTTTAGCTAAAACATCCGCAAAGGAATTAGCACATATCTTCACCCACTACAGTCTTATTTCGCGTGTTTATGTCTATTTTTTTGAAGCTAAATGCCCATTTCTCAAGACCTGTATCTTGCCAAATTTAATTAAATATCTAAATGCCCATTTCTCAAGACTTATTTCGTGTGTTTATGTCTATTTTTTTAAGCTAAATGCCCATTTCTCAAGACTTGTATCTTGCCAAATTTAATCAAATATCTAACATGTACAGATTTTTATAGCATAATAACATACCACTTCACAAAGGTTTTTTTCTTCATATGGCTACACAAACACAACAGGTGGGTAGCCCCTGTCACCCAAACCCATAGCCCCCCAACCATGGTGACAGCAAGGTTTTTTTTTTTGGATCAGCAACTCAAAGAATTTCATTAAAACTTAAAGAAAAAGAGAATACAACAAGTTGTTAGGAGTAGAACCCTTTACAACAAAACGGCCCTCCACCCTTTTAACATTGAGCCCAAACCAAATGATGTCTATATACTACTTGCTTAGCTAATTGATCCGCCAAACCATTAGCAGGCCTCCTAACCCATCTTACATGAATTTGCAATTGTCTTGACTGCCACTTGAACTGCCTGAATTCCATAATACCCCTTCTCCTTTTTTCAACCAACCAATGACTATTTTTGAGTCCTCTTCTACAATCAGCCTTGTAATTCCCATTTCCTTAATCCTTAGGCTCAATTTGAAAGGAGTACAACTACAAATATGTAGAGTGCAAAACCTTGTCTATTGTATTATTTTGTATATATTTGCACTGTACATATTTGTATTTGTACTCTTTCCAAACTGAGCCGTTGCTTTTTGCACCCCAATAATAGCAGCCATGAATTCAGCTCACACTGAACCACCCTGATCAAATAGGCCCCGAAAACAAACCACAAATATTCCCACTCCCATCTCCAATCACTCCTCCAATTCCGGAGAGTCACTGTTTGCCAAAACTACTTCCATCAAAGTTCTGTTTCATCCACCCGCCACTTGGGGGAGACCATACCTCCAGGATCTTTCTTTCCCTAGAGGAAGAAAGGGCAATCAACCTCAGGATTTGATCAGAAGTCTACAATACAACCGGCCAGAGACCTTACCAACTGAGCCACCACCAGTTGGTAAAATAGGTAAACAATATCGCCACTAAAGTAAACAAGTGCCTAAAACCAAAGGTTTGATTTATCCCTATCTAATTTCAGATGCCCAATAACAACTCTACCTATGAAATGCCTAGAGCCTAAGGTGCAAGGTGAGGTGTAAACCAAAAAGTGTGGTGCACCTATGAAAAATAAATTAAAAGAACTTACCATTTGGCAATAATAAAATCTAAATTCTTTAAGAAATAAAATTCTGTTAGATCAATTGATTAGAGATTTGTGTTATTACCATGAAGGTTGTAGCCATGTAGCAATGTAGTTTCAAGTCCTACATAGGCTAAACCGTTTAAACTCTAAAAATCAATTTTTTTGACAGTAAAGATAAAAAGGAAATATCTTGTCAACTTTAGATCATGTAATTGATTAGATTTAGTTATTCCTTTGTTTGCTTGCATAGTTGTCAAGGTGTCGCCTAGGCGCCCTTGGCTGGGCGCCTTGCCCAAACGCCTTGACTTTTAGCAACTAGGCGCCCCCGCCTAGGCTTCAAAAATGACAAGTCAAGCGCCTTTTATAATATCATTTATATTGCTGTATCTTATTAATGTATGTGTTAATACATTTTATTATATGCTATATATATCAATTATATTTTGTTTTAATGTTTTACTATTGAAATTTAAAAGATCAAAGGGTTTTGAGATGAAAAAAAGAAAGAAAGAAAAGAAAAGAAAAGAAAAGAAAAGAAAAGAAAGGGGAAAGAAACAATAGAATAATAAAGTTCTTTTTTTTTTCTATTCTCTCTCTAATTAAATAAAACAGAAACTCCATCCTTGTTTTTTTTTCTATTTTACTTTCCGTCTTGAATATTTATCATATAAATTTAATAACCTTCTTTAGCTGCTAATTAATATGAATTTGCTCTATTAAACACTTATTATAGTAGTATTATTTTTGAAAATAATGAAATTAATATATGTAAAAGATTTTTATCTTTTAGATGTGATGATTTACCACATTTTTAGAGGAAATTGAATGTTCTTAATAAAGAGCATTGCTATTTTTCAATTAACGTACATGCTGAATGGCATGTAAAACTAGGAAACTAGCCAAAAGTCAGCTTTTCATATTATAAATTTTTTATCACCTAGGCGACTTGGTGCCCCAGTGTCGCCCAGAATCGCCTAGACGCCTTGCAAAACTATGTTTGCTTGTAAGTTGTTAGAAATCATCTATTTTTCTCTTCGGGTGAAACCTCCTCCCATCTTGTGTAACCTTCATTTTTCTTTTAATAAATTTCTCCTTATTGTTAATAAAAGAAATAAGTGTGAATATGCATGGAATGTAATTTGCCAAAAGCGCTCACAAGTTGAATTTCTTATGTATCTTGTCTACGAGCAAAGAGACATGCAATGGAAAGAAGAGTGCATAGATTAACATGTAATGGAAATTTGGTGTAGTTAGTTTGGGCTTTCTGTTGGGAAGCTGGTTCTTAAGAAGATCAACACTTGTAATGTGCTTCAGAAAAGAAGCTCAAATTGGTGTCTTTCCCCTAATATCCGTTTCCTATGTTATGCTTGTGGTGAGATGGCTATGCACCTACGAATCTCCTGTTTTTTGTATCATATATTTGGGGATGGTTTACTTCTCTCTTTGGGTGGACACCTCACGATGTGGCAGCATCTTTTGAGACAAGTTTCTTTGGCAGCCAAAGAAGAGGGGAAGGATGTAGTGGAGAACCACACGAGCAGCTATATTATGGATGGTTTGGCAAAAAAGGAATAACAAAATAGTCAATGCAAAAGCCAAATCAAGAGAATAGTTAAATGATAGCCTTATCACCATGGTTGTTTGTTGGGTAAAATCAGCAGAGCTCTTCAAGGATTTCTCAACAGATGATTTGTTTAGGGGCTGGAATGCAAATAGCAGCTTTCTCAACTTCTACACTGGTCATTCGGGAAACTTGGGTTAAGCTGCCTGAATTTTGATGGGAGATTGTATAGAAACCCAGGACCATCGGGAATAGGGGATGTTGCAAGAGATAGAGAAGGAAAAGTATTAGCATTAATGCATTATACTCAGGACCAATAGGGGAGGGTGATTCTCTGAGGGCAGAAATTTTGGCACTCTATCAAGGGTTAAGGTTGGCTAAACAGATGGGGGCTAAGACAGATTGAAGTGAAGGTCATTCTAAGCTAATGACAGGGTGGCTGCAAATAAATAGTTTGGGAGTTTCATCTCATAGACAGGTTATGAGGGAAATCTCATGTTTAGCAAGGAAGATTGATGTTGTCTATAGATATGAATTAGGAGATCATCAAATGGGGGATATCTTAGCTAAACAAGGGACAAGTGGGTGGACTTTTTTGAGCGACTTTGTAAGGGTTTGTTTCAGATTGTTGGGAAAAACCTGTTTTGAGTGTTATCATTTGTAATTCGTCCTTTATTAATTAACAAAAGTTACTGTTTCCCATAAAAATTGACAAAAAGAAGTAGCTCCGTTAATATGAAAGATTCTGCACTTTAAACTGATATTCCTTGAGTGAACAGTAGCAAAGAGAAAACCTCATGTAAAATATGTTATTTTAGAAATAATTGGACAAGGATTCAACTATGATGATAATGAGGGTAACTATGATGATGATAATTTTGTGAAAATAAATACTGGTTAGAAATATCCATAGAACTCAAGTTCAATAAATACAAAGAAGCTTAATCAAGAACCAAAAAAAAAGAAAAAAGCATCTAGATCACTTCAATAATACAATTCAATTAATAAATCTAGTGTCTGTAGTTAACAAATAGCATTTACTACTAAGAGTAATAGAAGATTTTACCCAACAATGCAACATCAATAAGTGGTTATGAACAACTTTCAAGCTCCACTAGAAGATCTTTACCTGAGACCGAAGGACTTCCTTGTACGTCCCAATTTCTCTCAAAGCAATTGTAAATTTGGTCATAACAGGTCCTAGATAAACAAGAATCTTATCATTATTAAAGGAATAGATTTTATTAATAGAAATGAAATATGCATAATGCCAAATACGACAAAAGCAACTAAACAAAACATAATTCTCATAACAAAATAAAGAAAAGATTTAATTTAATTTTTATAGGTAACTGTTAGAGATTTTATTCATTATAAAAAAGAATGTCGTACAAAAACGTGCACCCAGCACGCCATGGATTGTAGGCCAGCCCTCTGCTGCCTAGCCTAGCCCATGTCCCTCTTTTTTACCTACTCTTTATACTCTATCATGCTTAATTATATATCATACATGTCCTGGAGGTTATCCCCCCAGTATAGGAATTTGCTTTCTGCTCCTTGTCCCGTTAGCTCGTTATCTATCATGTTTTGCTGAAAATTGGATAACGCAAAGAATGAATAACTAGAGAATACCTATTGATCAAAAAAAAAAAACTAGAGAATACCCAAAAAAAGTCGCTGCAAACAAAAAAAAAGCAGGCCAACCTAATGATAGAAAATTCCAAACAGAAACATAACGATCAAAAAAAAATCTTTAGGTTACAATAATGCATCCTTCATTTAGATGCAGAGAACAGGAGTTTCAGATGGTGGGATTTGTGTGTAAAATTTCAGTTACTGGGGTACACAGCAGTACTAGCCTAAACATCCTCCAAATGTACTTATCCATTCTTCTCCATATGTTGATAAAAGTGTAACAATTAAAAAGAAAACAAAGCTAGAAGCTACAGCCTACAATATTATCCCAATCAATTTGAACTTGGGCAAGACAAATAAGCATGAATTACGAAACAACAGTTCTACCTGACAGAATGAGGACAAGATATGGGACAATATATATATATATATATAGAGAGAGAGAGAGAGAACTAGAATATCTGATAGAGAAAGAGAAGAGAGCCATGTTGAAGTATCTCGATATATAGGGGAAAAAAAATCTGAATCATGACATCCTCCTCAACTGTTTCATTCTGAAGGTGATGAGGTCTGTTAACAGGCGACATGCAAAATTCAAAAAAAAAAAAAAAACGTCTTCTTAAGAGTACTATAATTTTCAGACTCTAATAGTGATATTTCCATGAATCTGAATCAATAATTCAAGATCCATAACTTAGAATCTGCTAGAACAGGAATTCAAGTATACTTATACAGAAGGATAATGATAAAAGCAATGAAACAGAGAAATAGATAAACAAGAGGCTCACCTCCAAAAGCAACACTTATAGGATCATTATGCCCACCTCCAAATGTTTCAAGGGCACTAGCAAAAGCAATATCCCCATCATATCCTTCCCCAAGCCCTTCCCTGCAATTAAAGGACGCCTATGAAATTCTTCATTATCACAAGGCCTATAAGAATGAAAATACAGATTTTATTTAATGGAATCACAAGGAATCTGTATTAGTGTAATTTTGTATATGCCTTCCTAGAGATTTTTCAATGGTTTTTATGGCCATACAATCAAATCATATCATAAGAACCCATACCCATTTTATGAGGCATTCTATTCACTATCATTCTCAGGCATGTGAATAAGAACTTAAGAAGAAAGATTCAAGAAAGTGAAGAAAGTAAAGGATTTTTTTTCAGAAAGGTAAAGTATAGTATGTTGTATTAATATCAAAAAAAGGTCCTTTATACAATGTGGTACAAAACAATCCACTAGGGACCTCCAAAAAAGTCCACCCTTAAAAAAGAACAGTTTTCATTTCTGAATACATGAAATTAAAGAATTATAGACTTTATAGCACAGCAAAAAATTGTTATGTAGTTTTATTTTTCCTTTCTCTCTTGCATCTTCCTGTTTCTATTACATTTGGAGGGTGTTTGGTGCAGTGTTTTAAAAGCACAAGGTGCAAGAAAAGCACAAGGTCCTTCTAGTGTCCAAGGTGCAACTGTGGAAAGTGTAAGAAAAGGCACACTCCTATTTGAAGCAAGGCACAAATTTTTGGAAAAAAAAAACAATAGGTAAGGCTAAAACAGAGTATATGACATGTAAATTTAGTAATAATAGGAGTGTAAATGGGGAATGCATTATTTTTTATTGATGATATATGTATGTGTTTGTGTATTTGATAGGCAAATACCACTTCGGCTAAAAGGAAACTTCAATAAAACAGTTGTATGGCCAGCTACATTGTATGGGGTAGAGTGTTATGCAGCTAAGAAACGGCATGAGAAAAGATCAGAGGAAAATGAGTGTGGCAAATGTGCAAATGCTTAGATGGATGAGTGGTAAAAATAGGAAGGATAAGCTTAAAAATGAAGTCATACGAAGGAACCTAAGAGTAGCTCCAACTGTGACAGAATGAGAGAAGTAAATTGAAGGTGCACCTTGCTTAGGACAAAGGCAACTTATAGAATCAAGAACAAAAAATGTTTAACATCATAATAAATATTTTTAGTAATGCAAATAGGAAAAAAATAAAAAGATTGAGAGTTTTACATGTTATATTTATGTATGCTAATTTGAGATAATAGGTTTTTTATAAAATTTATTTTAAAATTTAAGTTTATTGCGCCTTGGGCGCAAAATGTCCCTTGCGATTTTAAAACATTGTCCCATATAGATAGGACAAAGCATAGATGATGGGATGATAATGTATGTATAAATGGTTGTGACACATAAACGCAACTAGACCAAAATCTTTTTTTAAATGATTAAAAAGAAAAAGGAACCGATTACAAACATCAGACAGGGGTGATAAGATAGCACCCATGCCAGCAACCAAACAACAGAACTTCAAATACACTAAACACAGAAAGAACAAGAAAGACCTCCCTATCCAAAAGCAACTTAGTCATCTCCTTCAAAAACTTTGTCTTGCCCATCTCCTTCCTCATCCCACTCGTCTCCACCTCCCCCTACCAAGGAATCTTCAAACTCAAGATAGATGCCTCACCAAAGAATCACAAGATAGACCAACTGAATATAGAAAACATAAACCAAAACGCAGATAGATGTCTCACCAAAGAAACTAAACACAATAAGCCAATAATAGCAAAACCAACAGACCCCATCAAAACCACCAAATTAACATTTTCAAACTTGGATTTAAAATAACCCTGGCATGTTCACAAAACTTTAATTCATGACACACTAGGAGAACATAAAGTGAAAAAGTAGGCACGATGCAATAAAGAAAGTGCAAGTAGAGGCATACGTGTACTTTCGACATCCTTTATAAAACTTCAGACTTCTCTCCCTTAATGATTCGGCACTTTCCTCCAGGCACTGAATCTGTTTCATCAAGCAAGATAAACCAGTAAAATTACGCAACTGCAACTCCTCAAAACTCATTATACATAAATACATACTAAGCAAAAAGTGCCAACCCAATTGTCACAAATAGAGGACTATGCTTCTTTTCTTTAGTACAACAAAAAGGACTATGATGCAAATGAGTAATCCTGCAAATTGAACGTCCCCTCAAAGAATGCATAGGAATCTAGAAAATGGCATATTCAAATCAATCATATTCTTTTACAGATTTATAATTTCACCACATATTTATAATTTTTTACTTAGCATTGAGTCCTTTTCCTTTTTTTATTTTTTTAAAGATAATTAAGGATTCATGTGCCACAAATAAAGAAAGCATCTCCTAATGGTTTTATGAATTTTCCATCATCATCTAAACCTTGTCCCAACCATATGGGATCGGCTACATGAATCCTGTTTAAACTGGAAATACAAGAGAAGAATAAAATAAAAAACATTGCACTAAAATAAAAAGATAATGGCAGTAAACACAATGGATATTAATGCACCTTATTGCAAATTAAACAGGGACTTACAAGTTCTTTAGCACAACTTCATGAATCTTTTTAATTTAGATGTCACAGGGTCGTCCCTCTTGCATATTTACACATTGTTAATTAATTATAATCAGAAAACAAAATTTATTTAATAAGACTTGCATATCTTTTCCTGCATATTTGCATCCACAAGCTTAATCTTTCAAATTATGTATGCTATGCTTAATCTTTCATTTTATAATATGTTAGCTTAGTTGATGGGAATTTAATCCATCATCCTTTTCAAAAGGATAACACCTTTTTTGGCAGAGAGTAAACACCTTTTTTTCTGGACAGTAGAGGTAAAATATATCAAAAGGTTAAAAAAGAAAAAGAAAAATTTTTATCAGTATACTTGAAAATTGAAATTTTATAGATATAAATAAAGAATATTGTATCTACAGTTACACTATAAGTGCCAAAACACCACTATTAGGGGTGCAACTTGAGCCAGGTTGGGTTGAGCATTTGTTATTATTTTATTGGTAACTGTATAAACTGTATTATTTATAAAAAGTAAAGAATATATCTGTACAAGAGAAAATTCCACCGGTGTGAACTTGTCTTACACTGCCAATACCAAGCACAGATAAAGGAGGGGTTGTTTCAGGTTGGCAGGTGACATCTAAAAACTTTTGCCAAACTCTTATGCTCATGGAAACCCCATATAGTGATAAGACTCTGATGATGATATCTGTACAAGAGAAACCATGTGCTACACCACCCCTAGTAGCCCCTGCTGCCAGCCCATGTGCACCCTCTATCTGCACATTTTAATCAGCTGGATCTCCAGTGGTTACCCTCCAATACATACTAGTTCCATTCACTACTTGTTTCGCAAACTACAAAAGTGTCTTCCATGCTGTTCCCTTCCCTTGGGATCCATCTTATCTTAACTCTCAGCTCCCTTATCCATTTTACTATGTCTCTTGGTAAACTCCTGTAGTCCGGGACTCTGAGTCTTGCTTGCAATCTAATAAACTCTCCAGTGTTATAGTTGAACCACCTTATGCCAAGAGATTAGAGAGATTTAAGGATGCAGCCAGCTTTAATCCATCATCTCAGCTTTTTAGATCGTCCCCTTGACCAATTGGACCTGAGAATAAAACCACCCCCACCCCAAATAAATACTAGTTCTATTCACCACTTGTTTAGCAAAAGTGTCTGCCATGCTGTTCCCTTCCCTTGGGATCCATCTTATCTGAACTCTTAGCTCCCTTATCCATTTTATCATGTTCACTGGTAAACTCCTGTACTCCAGGCCTTGCTTGCAATCTAATAAACTCTCCGGTGTTATAGTTGAATCACCTTATGCCAGGAGATTAGAAAGATTTAAGGATGCAACCAGCTTTAAGCCATCATCTCAGCTTTTAGATCATCCCCTTGACCAATTGGACCTGAGAATAAAACCACCACACCACCCCCAAAATACCCACTCTTCTATCACTTCACATGCTACTTCCATCAAAATTCAATCTGACTTTTGTTTTGATCAGGCAGATGAATTGTTGTTCTTCTTCTTGATGTTGAATTGCTGCCAACCCCTCACAATATCTTCTAATGTAAAAGGCTCAAATAAAAGCAAAGTTTTGACCCAATGAGCCACCTGGATCACAATATTGATTTGTTAAATTTTGAATGAACCCAAGCACAAACTCAAGCCCAATATTTAAATTCTTCAAATCAGGCAACCTGACTTGCAACCACTACCCCCTTAATTGGCCTAGCCCATGCTAGACACACCATTACATTCACATTACATTAAATCCTTCTTGGGGAATAAAACACCAATACAGAAGAATTCTTTACACCCTTGTTCTGCATGCCCATTTTCCAACCAATTGGCAGTTCTTGGAACCAAGTTAAAAGTTTTTATCAACTTTGAACAGCTTCACTACTTCCCTCATCATGTACCTGTATTTCCATATTTTTTCAGTAGGTAAGTACCTACTTTTCCATGAATTTGTTCCATTCTTTCTTAGCCAATCCACAACCATGTAAGAATCTTCTTCCACCATTGTATCTTTATGCACGAGAGGTTTAGCCAATCTCAAGCCTAGTAGCACTGTTATTAATTTGGCCTGAATTGAATCACCATAACCTATAGTCCTGAATACAAAATCAATAACCAGATCTGATATAAATAACTTATTGTATTACATACAAAATGTGTATCTTAGCAAATTTATACTGTATATCCTGATCACTTTAATAAGTTCCCAGTTTTTAATCCAAAAATCACCCAAACCATCCCAGAGGCAAAGGAACCAACCAGGAAGCCCATATAAAAAAAAAAAAAAAAAACGGCAATGGCCACCACTTGGAAATTCAAAGGCACCAACAAAATTATCAAAAGGGTAATCTCCCAAACTATTCAGCCATTACCACTCAAATAACTATTCCAAAAACGAATTTCCTCCTCCTGATTGTTCCTCCACCAGTTCTACTTCTGTCCCTGATACTTCTTGCCCTGTCTGTCTCAATCACCAGCTGCAGTTTCTCACATTTTTTAAAGTGATCCAAAACAAGCATCAAATAGTTCACGTGATGTCTGGTTTCAGCATTTCACTACTTTGGCCATGACTGCTGAACCACAGAAACAAGCCGTCCCAACACACCACCAAGGGAAGTCAAGCAAAAGGCACAAAATCAGCCTTAAGGACTGCATTTTCAGTCAAACCAAGGTACATTGTTTCTTTTCTATCTTTTCAAATTTTGCTACTGGATCACGTTTGCAATGGTACAACATTGATGTGAGAGTGAATCTATTTGATTATATATTGCTCTTAGAATCAATGTACACACTTTTTTTCTAACTATCCATTATCCATTCTTTCAGCGTTCTACAAAAGTTTACTGGATCCTTGAATCAACGTACACACTTTTTCTAACTATCCATTATCTATTGCTCTAGGATCCTTGAATCCTTGAGGATCAATTTATATTTATGCATGACTGCCCACCAAAAACACAAATTAAGGACATTTAGCAATTCAAATATTTAAGAGGAAGAGCAGATGCAACAATTGCATTCATCCCGTCCCGTCAAATGTTCAAAGTTCTACAATGTAAAAACATCCCACGGTAGAGAAGATAACAGAGCTTAACCAACACCTAGTGCACGAGGAGTAAGAAACGAAATAAAAATAAATAAAAACAAATGGTCAAAAAAAAGAGAGCTGAACAACGAATCCTTAGAAACATAAACGCTTCCTTCTAACAAAGAAGAGCTCAAGAAGGAAAAGCATCGCACCTGTTTCCGAAACATCGGAGAATCGTCTAGTTTCGCGAAATGCATGTTGAAACCGCGATTTTTTCTCCTTTCTGCAGCAAATCTTCATTAACATCACACTGAAGCTCAATCCCCCGTATTCGAACCAACCAAATCTTCTAAGTACCCATCAATCACGTAAGCAACTCTCAAAACCAAACTAAATCACGAACCCATCACAATATAAAATCACCATTATTGATTTAATAGGCAAAGAGAAAAAGAAAAGAAATTTTCATCAAGTTCTCCATTTGCAACGAAAATGATCTCCTATCAAGAACCCTGGTGCTGAAACCAACAAACGAAGAATCTCCAGCATGATTTTAAGGCCATGCATCAACATCGGCGAGTACTTGTTCTTCAATGCTCCAGCTCTGCCACTACCTAAACCCTAGAATAGTAAACAAAACGGTCGAGACAAAACCCTAGAGGAGCAGGAAAAAAACACGACCTTGACGATCAAATTAGAGCTTAATGGATTCTCGGGAATTGAATGGATCGACAAAGCGATTTCATATCGGGAACATTGAAATCCAAATGACAGAGAAATGAGAAGCCTTTTTTTTGTGTTTTAGCTTTTTTTTTTTTTTTTTGGCTTTTTATCTTGACCGGATTTGAAGGAAGCTTTGTCATTAAACAACAGAACCTCTGCGATTTTTCATTTTGGGTCCGCTAATGAGAGTATAAAACCCTCCCTACCCAGTTCCCCTTCTCCCCTTCCTCGCTCTCTCTCCGTTTCCGTTTTTTCTCTCTCTAGATTAAGCATTCACTCACCGACCTGGCATTTTTTAAGAAAGAGATGCTCGCAGTCTCGCACCTTTACAGGACACCCGAGTGGGTCCCACACAACAATAACCTTCTGGCTTAGTACCACTGAAATCATTCGTTTCGGGACTCCCTTTACCCTACCTCCTTTTCCGAGGGACCCACGGCCACCACGAGCCGAGCTGCTTTTAACTGCGGTTAAACGAGTTAACTCTCCCCCTATGATTTGTTCGCTCTAACCCCTGACCCTGATATGTCGTTTTTACCGCAGTTAAGTCTGTTTTGCTTCAGAGTTCAGAGGCGCTGTCGGTTAAAAGGATCATAAAGACCACAATAAATGGCAAAAGGTTGGAACTTTCGAGATTAAACCGGAGAAAAATATCAAGAACGAGAGTTGAGCAATGTAGACCCCTGGGCCCTGGGTGAGTGACTGAGTGAAAGTGTCCACTTTTTGACTAGTTGTCAAGAAAATCACGAGTCATGTTGACCCTTACTGCCTCTAAATTCTAAAATTACCGGCAACAGCCTCCTCTCTTTAATCAAGTATTTTTATTATTTCTCCTATTTCATAAATTTTTTATTTTTTATTAGTTTATAAAAGTTTAGGTAGAAGAATCTATCGGATTTTGATAAATGAAATTAAAATAAATTAATAAAATTTTATGAGATAGTAAAAATCATAAATTTCTTACATGGTGTTTGGAAGCGTTGGAGTTTTTCGGGATCGATTTTCAAGAAAAAATGCCCATGCTTCCAAGACCCGTTTTCACAAAAAAAAAAAGAAAAATGGTTCTGCCACGTAGGCATGAGCAACACTATGTTGTTTGGCAAAGTGATTTTCATCACCGTTTTCATACGTGTCGATACTTTAAACCTTGGTAAGCACCACATAGGATACACATCAGTCAACCATGGGGGAAACGATTCATCGATGCATGAAAATGTCAAATTTGGCGTTTCATGCATCGTTGGGGGCCCGATTTTCGAGGCTTGCCCGGTTTTTTAATAATCGGCTGAACCAAACAATGAGATACTGTTATGGACACACCGCCTGACGGCGCAGTCACAGGCAGCGGCACG